CCATCCTGGCCACTCTTCTGGCGCTGGGAGTCCCGCTTTCTTGGAAGAAGACGGCGCTCTCCCCGGTCAATACCTGGTTGGGATTCGTGGTGGACCCAATCACGCCCTGTGTGCTGCTGGCTCCAGTCAAGCACGTCATAATCCTGGCCACTCTCAAACGGCTGGCCCAGGGGGACATCTTTACCAGCAAGGAGGTGGAACAAGCCCTGGGCCGGATTCAATGGGCTACTTCGGCGTGTCCATTGACGAAACCTTTCCTCCAGCCCTTTTGGAGCTGGAAGAAGGCCTGCACCACTTCGGGCAGGCCACCGAAGCTGGTTCGTGCTCTGGCCATCCTTCTGGGGAAGCTCTTCAACCAGAGGTTCCCACTGGCATCTCCATTTGCTCCCACACTTCCATGGACGGGGGCATCTGATGCGGGAGCTGGCAAACAGGCGGACCATGCATGGGTTGGTGGTTGGTGCTCGGACGTGCCCAACCCCGACAAGTCCCGAGTGAAGTGGTTCCAACACAGAATCACACCGGAGGGCGAGCCGTGGGCCTTCACTACTGGGGACCCGCAGCGGGCGATAGCGGCCTTGGAGCTCTTCGGCCTCCTCCTTTTGGTGAGGGCTGTTCTGCTTTGTGCAGCCGGCTCGGCTTCTCACACTAGGATTCTGGTTGCTAGTGATAACCAGGGAAACGTTTTCTCCCTGCTTAACGATTCCACTCGCAGGATGCCCAATGCGGCCATCCTCATGGAAATTGTGTTAACACTGCATGACCACCAGGTCATGTTAGGACCGTCGCATGTGAAGCGCGACTTTAACACATGGGCGGATGAACTTACTCATCCGGACCCGCAATTTCCGACTGAGAACCGGGTCTTCCCCTCAGTCGAAAGCGAATTGATCAAGCTGATCTTCGCTACTTTCCTTCCTCACCCATGATGCCGGGAGGGCATCCGGTGAGGTGGGAGGATTCCTCCCTCGCTGTGGGAGTGGCATCAATCCTACTCCCATCAGCTGCTGAGGGGAGCTGCCCAGTGGAACTGGGCAATCCTCCCATTTTGGCACTAACCCTTATGCGGCAACAAAGGAGGCACCGTTTTGCGAATAAGGCCTCAGTAGCACCTGAGTGGTGCTTCAAAGAGTCTCTCTGAAATCTTGCTGGCTGGGGAGAGGACCGTTTGTCAACTTGGTGCCACGCAGCGGGTGATTTCGGAGTTTGATTCGAGGCCAGGGAAGTCGAAGCACAATCTGGACTGCAAGTGGCCGAAGCAGTTCCTGTCGCTGGCCAAGGCTTTGGGAAAGGAGACGCGCGTGCCGAGTGACTTGCGAAGGCGTATCTGGATTTTAGAGAACCGGCACACAGCATGGGACTTGGGGTTCAGAGCTACAGCAGGTAGGGTAAAATTGTGGGCTTCCTTTCGGCTCCCCTTGAAAGCCACAACAAGAGGGGGTGCCCTCAAAACAAGACACCCAAGTACCAGGACCTTCTTTTCGCTCTTTGGGCCTGCGGATCGACAAGTTTGGCACTTGCAACCCCCGGAAGGCCTGAAAAAACCCGCAAACCGGATGTTGACCATGGGACACGCCCCGATCAAAGCCAGGGGCGCCACTTAGATCCGGACTCAGCTTGAACTTTGGCCAACCGACCCCACCAACGGCTTCCCTCCAATTTGTGGGTTGTAAATGGTTTGTCTGATGGCTAAGGGGCGGTTTCCCATCTACCTTCAACAAGAATTCGCGCTTCAAATCCAAGTCCAAACCACCCCCCAGGAAACGGAAACAATGGACTTGCTTAATAGAAGATGTTCGGCGCGTTTTCCCCTTGGTGTGGTGTGTGCAGTACTCCCTTTCAGCAAATCCAAGTCCACCAAACCACCAATTAAGTTCTTAGAGGCTTCACATCAGAATCCAAACCACCCCTAAAAATCAGAGGGAAGCCGACCAGCGCCGTTTTTCTCGAGGCAACCGCCGAACCCCCGGGTTTCCGCCGCCGGGGTTTCGGGTGTCGCCTTTGCCGGTGCCTCAGGAGGCCCAGCTGGCGGAGAAGCTGCGGCAGGTGCAGCAGAGGCAGCTGAGCCTCACCCCGCGCGAGGCCGAACGACGCTTTTGCAGCGGTTGGTGTCGCGCGCGGTTCTCCCCGGTGGTGGGGGGGATCCCCCCAATGACAAAAAACAGAACATACACACACACGGTTTGCCCTTGACTGTGCTTCTATGATGGAACAGCCAGACAAATCCTAGAGGGTTGAACATTGAACAGGAAAGCCACCAGCTTGGCTTGGGGGTCCATAACCTTTTGGGGAGGGCGGCGGTTTGCCGGTGGCTTTCTGCGTTTGGTGCGTCTATTTTTAGGGAATTTCCCCCCAAGGACAAAAATCCAAGGCACACACACATGATGGGTGTGTCGTTCTTAGGGGACCCCACCCCCACCCCCAAAAAAAGAAGAAGATGGTTTTCCTCCGGTCAGAACAAATCCCTGATGTCGACCGCGGATGGACCAGTAGAAAAGTTCTTCCCAAAGTGAAGGATCTCCTCCAGAAGGGGACATCTGGAAGGCCGAGTGAGCGGCCGTGCTTTCCTAATGGCGGCCGGAAAGTCATGAAGGTAACGCTTAACATTCTTTCCGAGCGTAATCTGGGCAGGTGCCCAGTTGGCAAGTTTCAAGTTGCTGGTAACCTGTGTGTGGCATGTTTCTTGCGTGTGTGCTGTGGCTTCATGGCCGTGATGCATTTTTTGTGCTGGTGCGCACGCAGCCCTCCGCGACTCACCAAAATACGCTGTGCAGTCTAGAATGCAATGCTGGCGCTTTGCAGTCATTCCCTTAAAGTCAACGTCAATCGTCATGCTGCATTGCATAGCATAGCCTTGCACATTGCGTTTGGGGAGCAGTGTGGCAGCGGCACATGCTCACGCTCACCTACATACCTGCAAACCTACCTACCTACCTACCACCTACCTACCCACCTACTTGCATACATGCATGCATCATGCATACATACATGGATGCATACATACATACATGCATACGTACAGACATGCATGCATGCATGCATGCATGCATGCATGCATGCAATGCATGCATGCATGCATGCATACACACCCCTACATACATAAATGCATGCATACACACATTCATTTCACTACGTTACCTTACATTACATTACATCACATTGTACACATTGCGCACACATTGCATTACATTTCACTGCATTCCGTTACGTTACATTACACAATAACATTACATTACATGACATTGCACTACATTACGTTAAGTTACAATACATTGCATTGCATTACATTCATTACATCACACACACACATACATACAGTTACATACATACATACGTTCGTACATACATTCATACATACATACATACATACGTGCACACACACGTATTCATACATACATGCATACACATACATACAGACACATACACACACACACACACTCGCATACACATACACACACATATCTATATATATATACATACACACACACATATATATATATATACATACACAGACATACCGACACATACACACACGAATGCACACACACACACACACGCAAACATGCACATACATACACAAACACACATATACATATATATATATATATATACATACACACATAAATACATGCATGCATGCATGCACGCATGCATACATGCATACACACATGCACACACATACATACATACATACGTACATACATACGTACATACACATACATACATACAGACAGACAGAGACAGACAGAGACAGACAGACAGACAGAGACAGACAGACAGACAGACAGACAGCCAGCCATACATACATACATACATACATACATACATACATACACACATACATACACACACACACACACATGCACACATACATACGTACATGCATACATACACATACACATACACATACACATGCACCTTCACATGCACAAACAAATGCACATACACATTCACACACACACACAAATACATAAATACATAAATACGTAGATGCATACATACATAGATACATACATATATTACATGCACACATACATGTATGCATCCATACACATACATACATACATGCATGCATGCATGCATGCATGCACCGCAACGGCCAGGTGCACGTGGTGGCGCTGGCGGCCCTGGAGCTGGAGACGAGGCAGGTGGACCTGGACCGAAACCTGGTGGCGCTTTGGCCTGGCAGCCTTTTGGGGGGGGGGGGTTGTGTGGTGGGGCCGGGGGGGGGGGGGGTATGGGTCAAAAGGAACCAACCGTTTTAGGGGAGGGAGTTGGGGGAAGTGCAACATTCTTGGCTCGGCGAACGCCTCACGGTGCTCTTCAGAAATGAGTGTCTTGGATTGGGTAACATTTCGAGTATTCGATGTTGTGTTGCTTTGGTGTTGCAACCAAGGCCGGATTGAAGGAAACTTTGCGCTGGGCCCCCTTCACTTTTTTAGGGTCACAGTGCTCACTCCTTGCTGGATCGATCTTTGCATCCACTCGGGATGCGAAATCATGGGCCGTTGTCGAAGGCCACATTCAAGACAGTGAGCTGGCCAGATCTCTGTTTTCTTGCTCTCTCTTGTAATCAAGTGGCAAGTTTTTTTGTGCGATTGTTGCAACAACAGCCACACAAGAAAATGTTTGACGCGTATTCATTGACCAGCGCATGCTGGCCACCAAGAGCAACTTGTTAAGCAATGCCACGCCCCACTGCAAGGCGTTTCATACCTTGCTGTTCTCGCCAAGCCATCCCAGAACCCCGAGAAGAGACAAGGGGGCTGTTCATTCTTCAGCAGCTTCTCTGGGAGTGGTTCGGTTGGGGCTGTGCCGTGCCCCAAACTCTTGGCAATTTAGATGGTACCTCTTGGCACCGGAGCTCCTCCTAGCAGCCCGCTCACAGGACAAGGTGGTTCTACCTGGCCTGGGGATGTTTTCGAGTTGCTAATTCTGGAGCCCAACATGCGTGGGTTTCGTGGGCGCTCCTTGGCGGCTTGCTTGCGTAGCTCTCTCAGGTCATCCAGGTGGATCAGAACTTCGGCAGGTCGTGGCACAGATCGAACCCCCAAAACGTCACGCCCTGCATCATCCCCAAGGGCAAGTATGTGGTGACGGGGCCCCACTGGCGCCTCCTAGGCGGGGCAGCGACGAGCGAGTTGAGTGCAGTCGCGGTGGGAGGTTGGTCGTGTGAAAGTGGCGGGTTTGGTCCAGTTTTTCAGCGGTTTGGTCCAGTTTCACGAGGTTGGTCTGGTGAAAGTGGCGGGGTTGGTCCAGTTTTTCAGGAAACAAGAAGGAGGAATTGTCGGACACGTCTGGGATCGGTTTGGGTCAAATGGACGGTTCGTCGATCCCCAGGCACTAGGGAGAAGTGCATGCTGCAGGGCGTCGGCCTCGAGGAGATCCAAAGTTATTCCATGGAAAAGCTGCTGGGCCCAAGCTGATGCTAAGCTCTTTCGGACCAACCCACTTTCCGGGGTTGGTTTGAAGGAAGGCCAAACGGACACCCACCATTTGGTTGGCTGCCGCTCCTTTTTTCTGCCACCCCTTGCTTGCATGAGGTACTTATCTGATGCCCAGCTGAGCGACATGGCGGGCAACGCCTTCTGTGCTCCCATCTGCTTGGCGGCGCTGCTGACGTTGCTGAGCTGCTGGGAAGCGAAGCCGCCGGAGACCTGAGATGACGAGCCCAGGAGACCTGGGTTTGAAGCGGCGCGCCCGGCGGTTTGACGTCCGGATTCCAGGGCTCAGGGCTGGCTCGGGGAGCCAAAGCGACCCGCTTTCGGTGGGAATTCGGTGCATGCAATTCGGTGAAAAGCCACTGCTGAAGCATCGTCCTTGTCGAGCCGTGGTTTTGGTTCACCGCAACACTGCGGTGTTCTTCGCAGAGCTAGCGCCAGATATTATTCGGGCCTCTATCATAGGACAATGGGCACTTGCGCATGCGCCAGAATTCCATCAAACCGTTTACCCTCTTTCCAACAATCCCGGAATTGGACAGGAGGCCTTCTTTACATGACAGTCTTCCAACTGCCTTCCACACTTCCAAGTTTGATGAAAAAAGCCTGTTCAGATGCTCGGATAAATTGTCTGATATGGAGCTAGATGATGGTGGACCCCCCAGTCAAAGCACGGACTTTGGATGTCATGTTTCTCATTTTTTCTCAGCCCGCTCACCCACCAATGACTCAATGTCCCTTCCGTTGGCATCCGTTGGCTCGCGCTTTGTCGAACCCAGGTCGATGAGCGGAGCCGCCATGTTTGAGAGGCGCCAGGATTGGGCCACAAAGTGCTGATGGAATACGGGGGATGGTTCCCTACGCCAATGCGATGCCATACGCTCCCTCAGACTAGGGTGGAAGCTTCCAGAAGGCTGTGTAGATGGAACCAAGTCTTCCATGGGAGTTTCCATGTGGGCATGGGTCAAAATCAATCCACTACGAAACCGCCGGCTTTAGTCCTTGTTTCCATTTGCCAGGGCAACCCATTTTGGGCACGATTTTTGACCCACAGCCATGTTAATCTGGGGGAGGGTACCCTTTGGCGGATGAAGCCCTGACTCCCGAAACAGCGCCCAACGGGGCCGTGGTGCTTCACGCGCGATCGATCTTTCCGGAAAGGTTTGGAGAGCGGTACCGGCACTGGGAGATGGACGCCCTGCGCACCTTGGTGCAGAAGGTCCAGGATCGACGCGCGCGGGGTCAGGTGTTTCTCAGAAGGCCCGCTTTATGGGGCGTTTTTGGGGGGTTTGCTCCAACAGGGTCCACCATTTTGAGGACCAGATGCGCCATCGACACACCCTAGGGGTTAGCGCCTTTTTTTGGGGGGGGGACTTTGGACCTGGGGAACCATCACCAAGAACCGCAAGTTTGTCCGTCGCGGTGGCACTCCTTTTGTGAACATATGGGGTTCACCTTGCTCAGTCTGAGGCAATGACTCCCAATGGGCCACAGGTCTCCTCCATTTCCGTTTTTGGGCACCGCCAAAAAGCGGTTGCATGAAATTGCTTATGGGGAGAAATCCAGTGACCCTTGCATGAAAATCGCTGGGTTGCTCTAGGAACCGCTGTTTGTTTTCTTCTTCTTCTTTTTTCTTCGGGGGCTCCCTTGGTTTTGATTTCCCGGCGGAGGATTTTTCCCTATGGAGCTTGTCGCCAGGACCGCGCCTGGCGCTTGGAGACTGCTGAGCGCTCCGCCTGCAGCGCCGGGGTCCCCGGCTGCTGCCTTGGCGCGGGGTGGGGGGCTGGGCATGTGCCCAGCCCCAAGTGCTCAAGTGCTCAAGTCAGTGAGAGGGGTTGGGTTGGTATATACGCTGGGCTCTTGGCTTCTCCCAAAAGCCAAAGTCACGGGATGTGGGAGAAACAAAATACACCGATGCTGTGTAGTTTGGGGGTTGCATTTGCCTTTTTGCTTGACTTCGAGCATGTTGCCCTCAGCTGATTTCAGATGTTTCCAGTCTTCGCAGTTTGGGGGTTGCATTTGCTTGGCTTCGATTGCTTGCCCTGGGCCTCCATCAGATGTTTCCTTGAAGCAGACCGGGGGCTGAGGTGTTGCCGCCACTTTGCCCCGAGCTGACCAGCCAGCGGCCCAGCCCGGAGCTGCTCTTCGACGACTTCGAGCGCTTGCTGGACGGGGCGACTGGGGCGACCCAACGATCTCCGGGCGGAGGTGTCCTGTTGGCGTGCGCTTTTGCAACTGGGTTTGGGTCAACTAAACTAGGTCCCACAGCTCGCCCTTTTACCCTTTTTTAGGGGAGGGTTCCCCTAAAATAGACCACAGAACCGGGATGGAACCGTCTAGTTGCTTGAGTGCGCGGTAAAGGATAGGGCTGCCGCGGACTGTTTTCTTAGCTCTAAGAACCCGCCCGTCAGGCAGGAGTGCCCCCAAAGCCTGCCAGGAGCAAGATGTGGAGGGGATGAAGGGGGAGGCGCGGCTTTGTGCTCGAGCGAGCTGGACCTTCTTTTCCCAATGGGGCTGGGCATTCAGCGGAGAAGACGTGGGGCGCATTTTTCTATTGGGTTGCAAGGGGGAGTTCTTGCGATAACGCGTTTAACAAATATCATTCTCTTAGTGTCCATGAACGCAAGCATCATATATTGCAATACCACAGGGGTTCCGTTTAACAAGAAAGTAACTTTCAGAGCCCCCCGAACCGCAGGTTCCATGTTAATTGGTGGGAGGGTTTTTGCTTGGTCCAGTTGAACGCCTTTTTCCCCAAAAAGGGTCCCAAAAGGAGATGTCTCCGAGAATGAGCGCTGTTTGTATTTTGATGTTGGGCTCTTCTTCTTTTTTTTGGGGGGGGGTTCTTCTCTTTTCACTATTATTATCATTGTTATCATTATGGTCATTATTATCATTCATATCATTATGAATCATTGTCATTTGATGTTGGATGTTGGATGGGAAGGAGCCTTACAAACCATCGTGGGTTTCAAGGGGACCACAGCCTAGGCACTCCGCGCGCTGAGCAGGTGGACCCGGCCAGGGTCTCCATCTCCGTGCCCACCAGCGAGCTTCCGCTGGCTGCTTCCCCAGAAGTTGGCGGGCTCCTTTTTCAGCTTGGTTTCAAATTCAGACCACAGGGACTTCCATTTGCTGCAATGAATATATTTTATTTTCCCCTGTTGGTTTTAATGGGAATCTATCACTACTGGACATATGTTTATTTTTGCCTGCGGTCGCCACCTTCTCTGGAGTTTTCCATGTTAAGTCACCCCCATCTCGGGGACCAGCTGGAGCAAGTGCTGGGTTGGAGAGAACGCGCCGGTCGGATAGGCGCCTCTTCGACGCAGCCTGCCACCAGGGGTCGAGGGGCCATCGTTCACCTTTTGAGTGTCTCAGGCTGGGGTGTCGCTCAGTTGGTTCTTAGATGGCATTCCAATAAACATGGTTTAGCACCACGGGATTGTAGTTTCGCCCTGGGTCGCCTGAGGCAGTGCGCGATCCCTTCGAGGCGGCCGAGTGCTGCCGCCTAGCCGTGCACTTGTGCGGGGCCCGGTTGCGCGGTTGCGCCCAGTGGCGCGCAGAGGGTTGCGCGTTGGTGCGCTCTTCACTTGGCTTGCCCTCCCCTCCTCCAGGGGTCCTGGTTTGGGTCCATTGTCCTGAACAAACGGACCGCGAAGGACCAGAGAGACCAGAGTGCACGAAGGAAAGCCGCCATTTGAGGGTTCAGATTATGACACAACCCAAAGTAAATTGTGCCAAAAAAGGGTCCTGAGCACGGTTTGGCAAGACAATTCTAGCCCATCCCGTGGCGAGACCCGCGCGACCCCCCTTCCTCCTTGCCAAGATCGGTAAGGTCCATATGAATATTTGTGAACAACACCGAACTTTGCACCACATTTTTTTAATTGGAGGCGGCTACTGCAGTCTGAACTGCTACTTCAGAGTTGGGCAGTGCTACTTTGAAATTGGCTGAACTGGCGTTAGGACCATGATTGGACAATGCTACTGGTAGTTGAGACTTCGCCTGTACTAGATCAATACTAAGCTGGGTGATGGAGTTGTCGAACGGGGCAACACTATTCTTGGAATGGAGCAGTGCTACTTCGGAATGAGGTCAAACCGACGGTACTACTTCTAGCATGAGGCATTACTGCTGTGTGGATGTGGCGCCACGCAGATGGTGCCGGGATGACTCTCTACACTCGATCTTGGGGTTTGGCGACCATTTAGACGATCCCGAGTGGGACCCTCTTAGCCCAGGCAAAGCATGTTGAAACAGCCCAGGCCTTGGCACAATGCTACCCCCCGGCCGGCCGAGTGGATTTGTTAGTGGACCGCAACATGTTTCACTTGAGGCTCACCCTTCTCTGCAATCAGTTCGAGCACATCTCCCAGTCTGTGGGGCGCTCGGAAATCCGATCCCCACAACTTGCTGCCGTCAGATTGGAAAGGTGAGGTCTTCTTCACCTCGTTTCCAGTCGGGACTGGGCGACTGTGTGTCTGACCGTGTTCCTGCGCGCAGTCTCAGCCACGCCCGCCAAGCGCGGGCGTCGGATGAGAGAACATTTGCCCAGGCCTTGACGCGCTTCGCGCTGATCGCCCGGCTCCTGCGGGGTCCCTGGTGCGAAAGGGCCACAACATTGAAGCCTGGTGTGGTGGGTGGGTGCAGCGGCGTTTTTTCCGCGTCTTAGATGGGGATTTCCCGCTTAACGGGGTCCCCACAAGTCAACCAGGGGTCCTCCTGTGGATTCCGGTTGGTGCTCCTGTGTAGCTCTTTCCGATTTATCTTCCCGTTGGCCACTGGAGGGAGGATCTGCGGATTGCACCGCATGTATGTAGATGCACAAGCAGCAAGGTAAGGGAAGGTAAGGGACGGGAATGGGGAAAAAGAAGCACATCCTTTCCGAGCAGTGCCCATTTCTGCGTTCAGGATGGGCCTTTTTCTCTCACAAAATGCTGCAACAAGAAAACTCCGCAGAAAATGCTTCTTCCGTAGTCTGCAGTAGAAGATCCCCAAACTGTGCCCAAGCAAGTTGCCTTTGTTCCCTGAGGTTTTTTGGGGTCCGCGACTTCAGGATGCAGATTCTTCCCATGCCGCTTCCGCTGGACCACCCCAAGGCGCCGGACATCGCCGGACCGAAGCGGAGGCTTTGTGGCGGATGCCAAAGTGAAAGACTAGACGCTTAGTCTACGGTCCGACAGAGTAGTGCCTCGAGGCTCCACCGTTGGGAAGGAGTTTTTTTCTTTTTGTTTTTTCTTTTTCCTTTTTTTTTCCGGCAAGGAATTCCATGTTCTTTGAGCAGCTGGCAAGCTGATTGCGGGCCATTTCTCAGCTTTGTGGTGGGGATGCCAGATTTTGGGTTGGCCTCAGCGCGAGCCATCCGCCAGAAAATGTTGTCAACCAGGGGCCCAAAGCTTCTGCTCGCTCGTGGATTCCTTGGCACATGTCAGCTAGGAATCTGGTACAACGCTTGCTCGATCGACTGCGAGAGGGGCTCGCTCTCTCTCTGTCTCCCTCTGTGGAGCGAGCTCCCAACGGCGCAAGGCAAGCGGCTGCTTTTGGATGCAGGAGATGAAGCAGGAGACGAAGGCTTGCAACGACCCGGGTCCAGCTTTGTTAAACCATGTTTCATTTTTGTTGCTGCTAGGCGCGGGAAACGGCCCAGTGTGAGCCTATGGTGTAGGGTGCCGCAAGGACCTGGCATTTGCAAGAGCTGATTCCCTTTTTTTGTGTGGGTGGGGGGGTTCAGCCTGTGTGAGGAGGCGATTCCCCATTCTGAATGCTGCACAGCAGCGGAACCAGGCTGACCTGATGAGACATTTGTTCCTGATCGCGTCTCGCACTCGGCATGTTTCAATTCTCGAGCAGCATGCGGAGGCGGAAACCCGGGAGCCCAGGGCATGTGTCCCATGTGGTCTTGACGCATCCAGTAATTTTGGGGATTTCGGGCAACGCCGGCGCGCAGCTTGCTGTGCTTAAGGGCCTCTCCTCTACATGTAGCAAGCTGCTTGGTTTTCCGCGCCTGGTTGTGCGCCGTTGGCTGAAACCCAGTGGTTTTCAAAAAAACATCTTTTTTTTTTGGGGGGGGGATAAACAAACAACTTTGCCCGAGGCGCCACTTTGCCGCGGTGTGCTGCACTTTGCGTGCGAGCCGCGAGACGGACGGCGCCCGGGTGGTGGTGTCAGCGGCCATCGCCGCCATCATGGCGCCTTTGCCCCGAGAATTTTCCGCGTCCCCCGCCAGGGGGGGGGGCATCTTTTCTTGGGTTCCCCTTGGTGGCTAGGTCCCCCAGTAGTTCCCTTTTACCCTTGTTTGATTGGGAGGGTTCCGCTGCTAAAATAGACTACAGAACAAAGGGTACCCTTATTCTAAGCTCTCTACTGGAGGACCTTGATGGTGTTGGAATGAAGCTGGAGCTGGCCAAAAGGAACACCTTATTGCCATTTTGGGCGGATCCCCCCAAAACAAGATAGACCCATGTCTCTTGTCTATTTGACAAGGGTCTGAACTTGATTGATGTCCGCCTGCAGTTTACTGCGAGCTGCCTGGACCTTGTTGCTGAGGATGCCTTGCTGCGGCGGGTCCTGGTGGGGCCTTTGCATGGCTCCCTTGCATCCAGGAGCGGGCACCAACATATTGGCCGATTGGTTTCCACGTGCGTGTTTGCCCTTTTGAATGCTTTGCAGCTTGTGGCTGTTAATCAACCTTCCCTGAGGTTGTTACTTGCTTGCCATGCCCTTGTTTGTCTCGTGATTTGTGGGGTCGTGCACATCTTCGGCGGTCATTGGAAAGGCTCACTTTTCGCGGAAAGGTCGATGTTGCAGCAGAGCGAAGCATGCGCTTTCCACAGGCACTACAGTGGCCTCGCCGAGGGTCCCTGCCTGCCTTTCGGTGTGGGGCCAGGATGCGCTTCAAGTGTGGAGAAAACCTTGGACACCAGAAGGTAGGACTCACCTCCAGTTTAACGTGGAACTCCACAAGTGCTCATTCGGGTGTGGGTCAAGAATAGGCGCCCACAATGGAACCCTGGCAAATGGACACATAGACCAAGACCTGCCACTTTGTGGCTTAATTTTGACGCCTATTCATTTGCAGAGGAGACCCCCCCTTTTTTTGAAGCCCTCCCCTTGGTCACTGCAGCCGGTCACTTGGGCACATGGCCGAGGTGTCGACTGCGGCACCTTCAAGGCCGCCTCCGCGACCTTGCTTTTGGCCGGTGTTCCGAGCCGGAGGGAGCCGCTGGCTTTGGTTGCCGTGTGGGGGGGGGTTCCTCAAAATGGCGGACCCCTTGTTGGAGGGTTTTTAGAGGGAAACCACCAGAGGTTAAACTAACCATGATAAGGGGGACCCTTATTTTGAGAAACCCGCATGTTGATGTGCCATGGCATGTCACCGCGGCACGTGGCCTGTTATCTTTGAACAGTCTGGTGCCCTCGGAGAAGGTTGGGTGGTGGTTTGGCCGAGGCAATGCGCCTTGTCAAGCCGCATGTTCCAAACAAAGATCCACTGCCTGGCCCGCTGCCAATGGATAAAGCGGCGCTACTTGCTGGTTCACAGGGAGCCCTGCAGGAGGAGATACATCTCATCTTACCCTCTGACGACAACAAGCAAGCCTCCGAATAAGTGTCAGGAAGGGCCTTTTCATTCAGGATGTCTCATTCGGAGGAATTCTCTTTGGGAACAAACATAGCAGTTGTGGGAGGGTACTTGGAAGATCAGTTTCCTTTTAAAGGAACCGCCCTGTGAGGTGCTATGTTAATGGGAGGGAAGTTATGACTGGTGGGGATCCCTTTCTGAGGTGGCGCCAGAGTGCCAAGCGCTGCCGGGGCCCCTACGCCCGGAGGGGTCTTGGCTTTCAAGGGCAGGGCTGGAATGCTACATGCTCGAACCCTATACACGTTTTTTTTTTTTTTTCCTTTTTTTTTCTTTGTTGTTGTTGTTGTTGTTGTTGTTGTTGTTGTTGTTGTTGTTGTTGTTGTTGTTGTTGTTGTTGTTGTTGTTGTTGTTGTTGTTGTTGTTGTTGTTGTTGTTGTTGTTGTTGTTGTTGTTGTTGTTGTTGTTGTTGTTGTTGTTGTTGTTGTTGTTGTTGTTGTTGTTGTTGTTGTTGTTGTTGTTGTTGTTGTTGTTGTTGTTGTTGTTGTTGTTGTTGTTGTTGTTGTTGTTGTTGTTGTTTGTTGTTGTTGTTGTTGTTGTTGTTGTTGTTGTTGTTGTTGTTGTTGTTGTTGTTGTTGTTGTTGTTGTTGTTGTTGTTGTTGTTGTTGTTGTTGTTGTTGTTGTTGTTGTTGTTGTTGTTGTTGTTGTTGTTGTGCTGTTGTTTGTTGTTGCTGTTGTTGTTGTTGTTGTTGTTGTTGTTGTTGTTGTTGTTGTTGTTGTTGTTGTTGTTGTTGTTGTTGTTGTTGTTGTTGTTGTTGTTGTTGTTGTTGTTGTTGTTGTTGTTGTTGTTGTTGTTGTTGTTGCTGCTGCTGCTGCTGCTGCTGCTGTTGCTGTTGCTGTTGTGTGTGTGTGTGTGAGATGTGCGCGTGCGTGGGCTCCTTGCAGGTTGCGCGGGCACCTTTTCCGAATTCCTCAGCCTAAGCTGCCCAGAGGTGAGGGATGATGGTTCCTTCTGGAGCCGATGGTTTGGTCCGAAAGCCCCCCATAAACCCAGGCGTTCCCTGGTGCTGGACTACTTTGACAGCCGGAGCCTCGGCTGGGCAGAGGGCCAAGCCGCAGGGGTCCCCCACGTTTGTCCCTCCAAAGCCGGATTAAACTCATCACTTTTTGGACCAACTGTCGCTAATCTGTCTCTTGGGAGGGGGAAATGTCCAAGTTGCAGGCAACGCTTGGCATTTGAAGGTCTGGAACAAGGCCCGGTTTATCCCAAATGAGGAAGGGCAGGAAATCGCCTTGGCAGCAGGGGATGATATTCAACAAGCGCAACTCACTTGCCCTAACATGATGCTCCCAAATAAACATTGCCCTCACTTGAACATCTCAACGCAAGTATGTTCCACCAATCGTGTTCCAAGCCATTGCGCGCAAATGGTGTTCCTGTCTCGAGCCCCTTTGCTACTTTCTTCAAGGTCAGCAGCAACTCTCCGTAAAAAACCAGAACTACAGCACTCCGACATGGCACATTGCTGCATAGGTCCATAACTGCACAAGCTCGCCCCAATTCACTGGTCTAGCTCTTTCATGGTTTCTTTTTCCTTGTTCTTTTTGCTTCCTTTTGTTTCTTGTTTTTTTTGTTGTTTCTTTGTAATTTTGGCTCTCTTAGACGCTTAGACTCTTTGTGTCTTCTTCTCTTAAGCTCCCTATATCTCCTTCTCTTTTTTTCTCCTTGTCTCTTTTTCTCCCTTCTCTTTTTCTCTTGCGCTTTCCCTCTCTCTCTCTCTCTGTTTGCTTGTCTGCATCTCCAGGCAGCCGGTCAAGTTGTGTCACACCCCCTAGTGCCCTGGTTCGACACCCCCTTCCTCGGCTCCATTATGCCAACCCTTTCCAAGCCGGAAGCTACTAAATTTGTTGTGAAAACCACCTGTGGCTGTTTGGCTGTTTGCCCTTATGTTTGCGTGTGCATGTGGCTATTGGGCTTCTGCGCGTGGTTTCTATCTGCGTTGCTGTGGCCGGTTTGCCTGAGGCGTGCGCCGCTCCATCTCGGAGGACCACGTGGTGTTTTCCTTTGACCAGCAGATGACCTGTGGTGAAGGCCGACCAGTGGAGGGAAGGTGATTGAGTAGCGACGTCGTTGATAACTTGCCTTCAGATGATCTCGGACCGTACCTTTATGGCTTTCTGGTGGGACCTGTGGACTTTAAGTTTTCGGTTGAAACCGTGGGTTTCCATTGGACCCACAAAAAGTTGAGCTTGTTGCAGAGGGGTCCACATTAACCAGGACACTAGTCAGATACCGTAATCGACCTAAATAAGCCAATTCTGAAAAGAGACATCGCGCGTGCGGTCATCGGCTTTCGTGGCCGTGTTGGTCTCTTGCATTCTCATACTCCCGGAAAGAGAGATGCTGCTGCCGTCTTTTTCGGACTTCGTCTTACGTGAGTATGCGCGAGTCGTTTGTTGGAGATCCGAACAGCTGCACCCTTGGCGTAAGCCCCTGCTCGACTTTTTGTAGGGCTTCGCGTTTAGCTCCGCACTCACGGGATGTGTCTTAAAATAGGTGGAGCCCCCATTGCTTGGTTAGTTTCCTTTTGGTACCCCTTTTGAAAACAAACACGCCCCACATGTTTGCCTAGTTTCCTTTTGGTTTCCCTTTAAAACCCAGCCAGCAAATGGGGGTTCCCTCAAAAAAAGGAGTCACACAAGCACCGTGCAGGTTCTGACAGGCTGGACGGCCGGCGCATCGCCAGGTGATACCGCCTGGGTGGAGCAGATGGGGCTGTGTTTGGGCGGTGCCCTTAGTGCCGTCCTCTCGTTCGCCGCGCGAGATATGCGAGCTGCGGGGGCGAGCTGCGGGGCGAGAGGTGGGTGCAGTACCGGCCGTTCTTTCCGCCGGATTTTGGGACTGGCGCAGAAAGTTTCAATTTTGAACCCAAGGTTTCTTTTCATTGGGAAAAAACCAAAGACTGGGTTGAAGTCCGCGTTGTTGTCAAAAAATGGAAGCCTGCCGGAGGGTGTCTCACTTTTCGCGAACATGGCAGACCAGTTAAAGTCGGGGAGTGTCACCTTCAATCTTGTGGCATTGTCATTGGTGCCACTTGCAAGCCCCGTGTCGCAAGCAGCGGCTTTGGCTTTAGTGGGTTGCAGCCATTGATCAGTTGCCGTTTAGTGGGCTGCACAACAGCTATCCCTTCCCCCAAGCCTTCAAGATCCAGCAAGGAATATGACGGAGAACCCTGGTGTGAGGCTGCCAGTTATCGGTTTCCAATTTTGTGGGAAGTCCGAGATAAGAATCCGAAGTAGATCCCTGAACCAATGCACACCCAGTTTGTGAGCGACTTTGCTGCTTTTCGGCGAAGGGGTGCCTGATTTTCAACTTGATTGTGGTTTTGGGGGTTATCCGACTGTTCCTCGGGAAAGGGAGAAAAGGAACCAACCATTAGTCGAAGTCTTTTGACTCTATTCATTTATCCCGCTTTTGTCGGTTTCAGTCTGTTTTCTTATTTGTTTAAAGCTCCCCTCTGAACAGGTCCAAGATGCTGCTGGTCGCCTTTTTCCAACGGAAATCCGCACTCCCTTCCAAGCTTCAGGTCACCCAACTGGTTTGGATGGGTTTGGATGGTTGTTGTGGGTCGGGTTTCACTGGAATGCTGGGACCAAACCACGAATCAGAGGGAAGCTGAAAAACCCAAAATGGGGAAAGCAGCATTCACAAAGTAGAGGGGGAATTCCATGGTTGACCTACAATGGAACATTTGGGTGGCTCGCCTGTTTTTGAGTTGCTACTCCTTTGGTGGTGCTTCTAAAACTGGCCTCGTTTCACCTCCAAACTGCGGAGCCAGCAGTTGGAGCAAATGAGGCCTGGACAGCGCGCGCCGGGAGGCGGCCTGTTTGCTCACCGGGGAGCGGCCTGAGCTGCCGGGAGCGCCCGGTTTGGTTCGGTTCGGAGGTCTGGGATTGGGGGTTCAGGGAGGGAGGGGGGGGGGTGGCGGTGGATAAAATTCGAGATGGGTGGGGGGTGGGGTCTATGGCTGCACTTAGCGCGAAAGCTCGTTGTCCGTTGAGTGGCATGTAGCGGCATGTACTTCATCCCATCCATGAGTTCCCTGGCGTTTTTGGCCGGCAACTCGCCAGCTCGGTCCCTGGTGCCTGGGTGCCTGGGTGCCTGGGGTCGGAGCAGAGGTTGGAGCTCTTCCCGGAGATCGCGTGGTTCCGGGACACCGTGTTCCTTTGGAAGATGCCGCGGGCTTGAGGAATCGGGGTTGGTCTGACAGGCCCGCCTGAGCCACAATTTCTAGCCCGTCCCAGGGACAAAGACCCCGAATCCGAGGATGGCACCTTTGCAGTCCCGAATCCCGAATCCCAACTCCCAAATCCCGAATCGGAGGATGGGGCCTTCCCAGTCACAGGCGGTCAGAGCCCGAAATACGGTGGCTGCTTTGCACGTGAGGCTTTTGCTGCCGGCATGCCAATGCCCCCCCATGCAGCAATGGCACTGAACTCAGCAAGCTGGCGCCAGGGTTCCCTGAGGACTTTTTCTAGCCGTGGGAATTTGTCACGGCAAGGGCGCGGTTTTTGCCTTTCGGAACGGCAAAAACCAAAAAGTGTTTTCCGCCGTGTGAGGCACAGCGAAATGAGGGCAGTGATGTATCATGGGCCCACAGCGAGGATGGAGGGGTGGTTTATGCTGTAGTCTGTTGGCCCCGCACGGTTCTGTCATGAGTTGCATCAAGGTCACGCTGTGATCATTTGTTTTTCAGGGGGGGACGGGGGCGCGGGCGGGAGGGCTTTGGTTTATCCATAGACCTCGCATGTCAGCGGCGGGGCCAGCGCAGGCGTGCGGCTGACTCGCTGCTGAAATGGCAGTACAAGCCCAGGCCCCAGAGAGCCCAGAACGAGGCTGTTTGGGCCCAGAACGGAATCGCGGGTGTGCCTTGGCCAATTTTGCTCAATGGGCTTTTGCCGGGCGAAAAGGACGAAAAGGCTCCGTGCCGGTGGGTCTTCTTGATGGACAGGATGACAGGCCGCTTTTTTCGGTTGTGCGCAGATAGGTGGCGTTCACATCCAGATTTTCTTTAGCGGAGATGAAGTGAGCAAGCTCTACAGGTGGTTTTTAGATGTTCATGTACCGTTGACCCCATACTAACCAACCCCAGTTTGTCACTAGGAGGGTGTTTCCCTCCAAAAGTGACGATTCCCCCGTAAACCCAGGGACGCCACCTATTAATAAACTGGACAACATCAACATGTTGGCCCATGCAAGGCTGCCACCAATATTGCCCAGTCCGAGGAAAGGTCGCTTTGAAGTGGTCGGCTTCGGAATGACGCTGACTGCTGAGGCAGGGCAGGTGAAATTATTCTTGTGCCGATAGGTGGCTTCTTGCTTCCCAGGTGCTAGTTGCAAACTCTGGAAAACCGACCTTGCAGCCAGTTTCACTCTGGGTCTAGGGCCGGGTTTTTGACACAGGCTCAGGTAGCTGTTGAAGGATTCCAACAGCGCTCGGCTCGGCTGGTTTTTGTTGCCATAGCGCGATGTTGACCTGGCTGGGGGTTCTCGCCACTGCTGTTGGCAAGTCTTTTGGTTTTGGTTCTCTTCATTTTTAGCAGGGGGGCTGACAAAAACACAGTTTTGCGCTACCATGCCAGGGGGTTAAAGTTCAGGAGCCCTGTGCATGCGCGTGGTGCAGGCGCAAAGGCCCAGCTTTTTTCAGGGCGTGCTGCGCTGGCAGGGCGCCCCGGTCTCTCTCGTCGCACATTGCGCCAGCGGGGGGAGTGGACTGTCGGCCGCATTTGTCGGGGGATGCTCCCAGGTTGGTTTTCGCAAATGGAACCAAGTCTTCCGTCCTTGGAGCTTCCATATGAGTTTGGGGGAGGGTGTTATGGAAGCGCGGGATGAATGCGCGCCATTGCCATCATGCGATTGCCAGAAGCTGCGCAAGTTTTTGCTTGGCCTTTGCTGGCTAGCTCCCAGGTTTGGCCAGTACGAGTCCGACAACAAGAGCCTCAGCCGTGCCAGTCCCTCCGTGCGCCGTTCAGTTGCTACCATCCGCTTGGCTCCATGAACTGGGGAGGGCCCAAATTTGGTGTGCCCAAACAAATGGCGTGCTGACTGCGGCCGAATCGGACGCGCTCTCAGGTATTGGCAGGCTCGCAGGAGATCAACACTGAGGCGTGGGAAGAAATGTAGGCCTGAGACTAAGAAGTTGGCCCGGAGCGTGGGTAATGGAGGGGTGCAGGGACATGCTAAAAAAACTGGGAGACTGTGCCAGGACGACGTGCTGTTCTTGAACCAGTTGCCAACCTTCAACGGGGCCGCGGGCTTGGTTTGCAGTTGGCTGTTGCGCGTTTTGCGCAATCTAGTAGTCCAAGAGGCAAGATGGCACCTCTCAGAGCGCCGCTCACGGCAGTGCTAGCCTGTCGCCGATGCGCCATGGCTGCGCGGGTGCACCTGGTGATGGGGATGAGGACATGCGCACGGGGATTGGTTCGGAGTTGCTGGTGCTTTCGCCTGTGAAAGCCCGAAATTCCGACAAGCTTTAGCTTGGAATGGGCCGTCAGGCCGCAGCATTTGGCCCAAATTTGGTCCGGCAGCTCGTTCTGCGTCTCCTCATGGGGCGCTGTCCTGAGGAGATCGAGTACACTGAGAGGTACAAGGATGACAGCAACCTTTTCGAGTACCGACATGTGCACCTTACCAAGGCCGAAGGACCAAAGCTGTGCGGTTGGGTAACTGGCGCCGTGTTAGACACGTGTTTCAGGTAGCTTTCTGATCCCTGCAGGCAGCGAAAGCGAAGGTGATGAGGCTCAGCGACAGCATGAGGCGGCTGCTGACGGAGGAGGAGTGGCGTGGGGTGGGAGTGCTGCAATCTCCTGGTTGGGAGCACTACGAGTGGCACTGCCCAGAGCCGCACATCTTGCTCTTCCGGCGTCGGCTTGATACACACCCGTCCGGACGGGCTGCATGATTCGGCCGGAAGCGGCCTGCTTCTTGGGGGATGCTGCAACATCATGCGGCTTTATGTATATGATTATCTACATGGATATGTATACAGTATTTGTATGTATACTTCGATATAGATATACACGCACATGTTGCTGAGTCGCCAGAGCAAGTTCATGCATGCAGCACACCCCCGGGAATTCATTCGCGCACGCGCCTGGTTTGTGACTCCGCATGGCGCTTAATTAAGTAGATAGTTGAACATTAGACACTCGGCAGCCAAGCGCTGCCATTGCTTGCAGCATGTGCATTGCGCTGCCTGGTGGAAAACAAGGTGTTTGGGTGCTTGAATGATGCACAGGGAGCACCGGCTTTCAGATGCTTTCAAGCCAAGATTGTGCAGATACTCAGCTTATACTTTCTGAGCGATGAGTTTTCCCATGTGCTGAGCTCTGTCGTGCGATGCAATTATGAGATATTTGAAATTGGGTTTGACTGCATTGTCAGTATTTTGGATTGTCCTTGCCGCCTCTCGCTCGCTCATTCCCGGCCACCCGATCTCACGCGTGACCCGCCTTGCAGCCAGCTTTCGGCTCTGTCTTCGAGTTTGTGCTTTCTGATCATGGTGCACTACCCTGACGAGATTGAGTATTCAGAGAAGTACCAGGATGACCAGTACGAGTACAGGCACGTTCTCTTGAACAAGGCCAGGAACCTCGAAGTTGGTCAGGCACACCCAGCAGGGAAGAGCAACAAGTGAGTGAGCAGCGGAAGGCCAAATATCGCACCCTCCTGTCCACAAACATGGCCCCCTTTTCAAGGAAAAAGGGTCTTCCAGGACCCTTCACTCAGGTTCCATGGCAACGACGGGAGGGTATCTCTTGGGTGCAACAAGTGTCCCTTAGATTTGCCCCCAGTTCTCCCAGTCTCAGAAGGCTTCAGGCTTCGTGCTAGCCCGTGTTCGTGTCTTGGGAGTCCAGTTCTCATGTTCAGAGGCGCTAGGCGAAGTTTTTGCTTTGTTGTTGCTGCACCAAGGGTGGGTTTTCTTTGCCGAGGCGGCTGCCAAGGAGGTCTGGAAGCTGAGCGACGGCATGAAGCGCACCCTCCTGGAAGACGAATGGCGCAACAAGGTCGGAGTGCAGCAATCCCGCGGCTGGGTGCACTACGAGCCCCGTGGCGGCATTTATCGCTTCTCGGCCGTGGTTGTCAGGCCCACGCGCCCAAAGGAGGACCCAAAAGAAACCCTGGCTCCCAATAGGCCCTTGACCACATCCCCGAAATGGGAAGTGAGATGGGTAGGATAAACATGTCCATTCGAGTTGCCCTTTCAAGGGGCACTTTCGGGGCTCTCCCGCCTTTTGGACAAGACTTTTCTGTGGGGCTCACCTGGCAGCCAGGCGAACCGACCTGAACTGACCAAATGGTTTCTCCCTTTTCCATTTTTTGGGTGGCCCCTGCTAGGGTGATCGCCCCACTCCAAGCCCCGAGTCTCGGGGCCCGGGGGCGGGGGCCAAGCCGAGGTTTCATCGCCCGGAGCCCCACATCCTCCTCTTCCGCCGCAAGTTGGGCACCGATCCGGTGACCGGACGGGTGCCGGCGTAACTGGCCAAGGGGTGGCCAGTGCGACGCCTCGCGGCGCTGGCGCGCGCGAGCGCGAGGGTCGCGCGCGCGAAAAGCGCGGGAGGCGCTGGAGGCGCTCTTTCCCAAAGGGGCGCGGCAAGTGAGATGCTGGTGCTTTGGCCTATGGGGTACCCGTGGGTGTCAGTAGATGATCTTGTGAATAAGGAATTGTCCGGTTGGTCATCTGCTTTGGCTCTGGAGGGGCCTTTGTGCTCTTCTTACGGCATAGGGGCAGTGGTCAATCGCAAATCGCTTGGGGGCTCGCGCAGGGCTGCATTTCCCTGAGGGCACAGGGAAATGTGAAGGCTTAATTCGGATTCGAAGGGAGCGGGGCTCTCGAGCTCTCAACTTGGCTCTCTTCAGGCTCGCCCAGGGGAACGTAGCCTGAAAACTTGTCACAGTCCCTCAGAGTCTCCCGACCAGATTTCAGTTCGTTCCCCTGGGCCTTCTCCCGAAGCTCCCGGCCTTCCGCGAGCTTTTCAGTCGTGCAGTGCACGTCCGACGTGGTGCGACAGGCAAAAAAAGGCCGTGAGAGACGTTGGAACTCCAGCTATGGCAAGGGCGGCATTCAACGGCAGTCATTTGGGTTTGCGCCCGCTTGGTTTTGGGGCCCTCGGGATCTCAACAGAAAGCCCGACCTCGGGCGTGCCCCTTGCCGGCCGCTGGTTTTGCTTTGGGGTTGAGGCCGGCAAAGGCCTTCTATGGCTCTTCCTAGCCAGGCCGATGGCTTGTGGATGAAAGCCAGCCGACTGATCATGGGCCTTTGGAGTTTGAGGCAGCAGGTAAATCTTCGCTGGTTGGGCTTTGACCGGTATGCCATCGCAGCTGCCTTACCAACGGAAGAATCAGGATGGTGGCAAGATGACATATGGTGTTCGTCATGGTCCAGCTTGTTGGTTGCACGCATCCGCAAGACCAACCCATTCTCATACAAAGATTTGGCCACGGCGCAAAGCATGGACGTGCACTTCTTTTTCCTTTCCAAGAGGAAAAAGTTGTCTTTCTACAGGTGTCTCTGCACATTGTACACTCCCACCAACGAACATGGAAGTGCACAAAGCCCCTTTCCAAGAGAAAAGTACACTTACCAGCAGAAAAGTTGAGAGATCCGATTTCCGATTTCGCATCGCCAGGACAGCGAAGCAGACTCCTGGTGCGCACGCAGCGAATTGCTGTGGTGAAAAGGCGAGCCCACCTGGCCAGTCCAAGGCAGACGCTTCGGGAGGCTCCATGGCCGTGAGAATGTGCGCGAGTGTGTGATGTGTGTATGTGTGTGTACTTGTGCACGGGTGTATGTGTATGTGTATGTGTATGTGTGTGTGTACTTGTGTATGTGATGTTTTCGTGTGTGTACGTGTGTTTGTGTCTACGTGTTGTGTGCTTTTTCGTTCGTTTGTGTGTTTGGTTTGGTTTGGTTGGGTCTGGATTGGCCTGGTTTGTTTGCTTGCTTGCTTGCTTGCGTGCGTGCTTGCTTGCTTGCTTGCTTGCTTGCTTGCTTGGTTTGTTTGATTTGATGTTGTTTTGTTTGCTTGCTTGCGTGCTTTTTTGTTTTGTTTTGTTTTTGTTGCTTGCTGGCTGGTTTGTTTGTTTGTTTGTTTGTTTGTTCGTTTGTGTGTGTTTTTTTTTTTTTTTTGAGGCATCATTGTTCATCATGTCAGCGGCTGCGCCACCAAAGCTTGCCGGTTGCAACTTTCCCGCCGGAGGGGCGGCGCCTTTGCCATGTTGTAGTGACATGGAGCATTGTCCAAGACAGGCTTGGAAAATATCCCCCCTCCAGAACATGCCGATAAACTAGGCTTCTGACAGCAGGCCAAATGCGACAAGGAGTAGGCCAAGCCAGGTCCAGGCGATGATCTCATTTTGGGGTAGGCGCACCACTCATTGTAGTCTATTTTAGTGGTTGGATTGGGATGTTAACTGGGGGTACGATTTGGATTTTGACCCATGGCCAAATAACAAAGCTCCTACCAGCGATTGAAGGGGGTGGTCTTGGACTTTAGCAGCTTACCCTGACTGCCTCAGGCACGATCCACAAACACATCGAAACCTGTCCAAGCTGTTGCCTGGTTTTGACTGCTAGCTCTGCAGCCGCTTGGCTTTTTGATTGCCACTGGGCAAAGGTAAAGCACCACACTAAGAGGCCAGCAGCCGAAGCTTCGGCAGTTGGACAACATGAACGCGTGCTTTCCGAGCGACATCGCTCGGCTCCTGCGATGTTTGGCCTCACTAGTTTACCATGATCTAGGTCACCCCCTAAGTGGTGGGTTAAAGGGAAACAACCCCATTTTCTGACTTTGATAACCCCCAGAAACCGTCAAAATAATGACCCCGGGATGTGCTTGGTTGACATTTCTTCGCGGGTGAGTCGCAATTGGGGGTGGTCTTCGCCATTGAGCTGCTATTGTTTTGAAGTCGCCAAGGTTTGTTTGTGGTCAGTGTAGATTGACGAGACGCGAAGCTGTCAAAGCCTGGAAAATCACTTTGGCCACAATCAGAACCCTTGTTTGGAGGGTAGTGAGGGCCAAGCCCAGCCATACTTGGGTGCAGCCGCCTTCTTAGTTCTTAACATGGTTCTGGGTCCTGACTACTTTAATACCAGATTGGATTGTGTGACTCGCTTAATCTGCCAATTGCATCCGAAGAGCACACAGAAGTCCGAAGAGAAGGAAGACACATCTTGACCCGCCATGGCGGACTGGGACCCCTTCGCAGACCCTGCTGATACCGAGCCCGCGCCCAGCCCGGCGCCCA